CTACACCTGTATTATTAGTGATTCTAGCAGTGATATTACACCTGTATGATCTACACCTGTATTATTAGTGATTGTAGCAGAGATATGACACCTGTATGATCCACACCTGTGTTATTAATTATTGTAGCAGATATATTACACCTGTATGATCTACACCTGTATTATTAGTGATTCTAGCAGTGATATTACACCTGTATGATCTACACCTGTATTATTAGTGATTGTAGCAGAGATATGACACCTGTATGATCTACACCTGTATTATTAGTGATTGTAGCAGAGATATGACACCTGTATGATCTACACCTGTATTATTAGTGATTGTAGCAGAGATATGACACCTGTATGATCTACACCTGTATTATTAGTGATTGTAGCAGAGATATTACACCTGTATGATCTACACCTGTATTATTAGTGATTGTAGCAGAGATATTACACCTGTATGATCTACACCTGTATTATTAGATGGATTCTAGCAGAGATATGACACCTGTATGATCGACACCTGTATTAATAGATGGATTCTAGCAGAGATATGACACCTGTATGAGCGACACCTGATGACACTTGTCTCTATATTATGTATTTATGTCTCGGAGATTGTTTTTTAAGGTTACTGCTTTCAGTGGGTCCTTGATTCTGTTTAATAATTGTTGTTTCTGTTCCCAGGATGAGTAATACCCGGATGCAGAGCCCCCTAATCCCACACCCATCGCACCCTCTGACAAATTCATTCCCCTCGTCAATGTATAGCGCAGCCTCTGAATTTGCTAAATCCTGTCTGCTTGATTCGTCGGAGACCTTTACTCCATTAAACTCAGGAGACTCTTCCGAAACACTCAAATCCTCTACATCAGCCGCAGGTTATTGGGATTTACAAAAACCTAAGGAAATGTTTGTCTTCAGCCTTTATTCTTACACACAATGAATATTACATCACTATATCTCTCCGTATTGATAAGCTTCTAATATAAATGCAGCATGTAATAAATGCCAGTATTAGATCAAACCTGTAGTAAGTATAGAACTCGTTCGGGAATCATGAGGAATTGATCATATGTTTGACAGCCAGCAGGGGGCACTCTAAGTGCCATAAAACTGGCCCTTATTCAGCTTACACTCCTAGAGACTTTGTTACGGGGGAACTTGTTTATTGCAACATGATAGACAAATGTAATGATACTTAGTGGCCACTTTATTTTGTTTTTAGAATATTGAATAAAGTATGTTTTATGTTATATTGATCTATTTAAAGAATCATCTATTAAGATATTTTACATTTTGATTCAGTACCAGCGCCCTCCATCTCCTTAGATATATATTTTGGGCTGTATTTCTCTTTAGGAGTCGCAGCTTATTTTATTTTCATTTTATTTCACGATTGCATTTATTCAGCTCCAAGTACCATAGCCACTATAGTTCATTGCAGTGGTTGTGGTGCTATGTCTTTGGGTGCTGTGCCCTGGTTTACAGTCAAACCAGATTCATGTTAACCAGTCCCAGCACTCTAAGCCAGTAATTGCTTTTCATGTCGTAGAGATTCACACTGTGATGTGTCTGCATTATGTGTTCCGCTGCAGAAACTCCAATTAGACCCCAAACGAGGCATGGCGCCCATAGTATCATAGCACCATAACCACTTCCCATGTTTTTAGCTATGGTGCTAAGATGCCGAGTACTTTAATATCTGGTGGGAAAAAAGTGAAAGTAATACACCATGATTTTTATATATCAATTTGTACAAAATAATGGAGTTTTGTAGGTTTAAGTTGCTTTAATAGATGTCAATGTCAAGCAATCTAAAATATATTTTAATTTTGATTGTTCACAAGTTGTATTGGACATAAAACCCATTTTTATTTAACCGACTAAGTGATATATGTTAATATATAGAGATACCCAATGACAGGGTATTATATACAGATAGTGATGTCGCGAACCCGAAATTTTCGGTTCGCGAACGGCGAACGCGAACTTCCGCAAATGTTCGCGAACCGGCGAAACGCCCGAAACGCCATTGACTTCAATGGGGAGGCGAATTTTAAAACACACAGGGACTCTTTCTGGCCACAATAGGGATGGAAAAGTTGTTTCAAGGGGACTAACACCTGGACTGTGGCATGCCGGAGGGGGATCCATGGCAAAACTCCCATGGAAAATTACACAGTTGATACAGAGTCTGGTTTTAATCCATAAAGGGCAGAAATCACCTAACATTCCTAAATCACAATCAATATGGATTGACACCTGACATATGACATATTGACACCTTGACATATGGATTGACACCTGTCCTCAGAGCCCCTGATGCACACGGACACAGAGCAGAATAGAGACTGGTCCCCTACATAGGGTCACTTGGCAGATATGGATTGACACCTGTCCTAAGGATCCCTGATACACACTGACACAGAGCAGAATAGGGACTGTTCCCCCTACATCGGGTCACTTGGCAGATATGGATTGACACCTTGTTACAAACTGCTATTTGTAACGGGCCCTTTAAATGGCAAATTGCCCTGTTTCCCTGGGTTGTGGAGAAGCCTCTTTGCCAGCCTCCTCCCGCATGACTATGGCCCCTGGGAGATTGTGAAAATGTATGCACTTTTATTTGGTGTGTATGGCCCTTTAAGACTGTCGGTGGGCATATTGGGGCTTATGGACTCTTTATGTGACTGGTGCTGGCCCTTTAAACACCTTTTTTGGGACATCAGGAAGATTGGGACACTGCCCCTTTAAGGCCGTGTCCCCAGACTTGTTGGGACACGGCCCCTTTAAGACGGTGTCCCCTGTGTCCCCAGACCTGGTGCAAACCCTTTGTGCCTGCCTTGCTATTTCCCACTTGGTTCAGTAAATGGGAAATTATTTCAGCTGCAGAGACTAAGTCCCATTCGGCGATGGGACTTATCTTTTTCAGCCGCTAGCCTTATTTCAGTGCTGTAGAGACCAAGTCCCATTCGGCGATGGACTTAGTCTTTTCAGCCGCTTTTCAGCCTTATTTCAGTGCCAGAGACTACTAAGTCCCACGTTAGATGGGACTTAGTCTTTATTTCCTCAGCTGCAGAGACTCAAGTTCCACCAGCGATGGGATTTAGTCGCTTTTCAGCCTGAAATAGACCGAATTTTCACAGCCCAAATCTATGGAACTGTTTTGGGCAGGAAAATGTGCTTGCGGTCGGTCATAAAGGGACCTCTAGCTAACTTTTTAACCCCTGGATGGATTTGGCTGATTTTTGGTTATGTTTATGTTTTAAGTGTGCTGATTCCAAATATGTAATTATGAAGATGGGATGTGTAGTTTTAAAGTTACAGGGTATGGCTAAAAACCGTATTTTTACTGCCTGTGTTTAATTATGTTAATCTCTTCCCAAACGTCATTTCGTTCAAAGTGGAGAGAATGTTAAAAAAAAATATTTTTGTTCGGAGTGTGAGAAATGCTTTTCAGCCGCCTCTAATCTTAAGCATCATTTGAGGAGCCATACAGGAGAGAAACCTTATTTGTGGTGTGTTTAGTATTGTTCTGATCAGTTTAATACCTTCC